ACTGACAGCAATACAGGAAAATACATCCATAATCACACACGCTTCCTGCCCTAATGAGGCAATATACATTCATATAGAGGAAAAAACCAAGCACATTATTAAGACATTAGGCAGTGAGGCAGTATCCATTTTATCTTCAGAAGAAAATTTTACAGCAAATGGTTTCATTAAGACACTTGAAAGCAACCTACTTTGAAGGAAAAAAAAAGCACCATCATAGCATGAAGGCTGAAATGTGATTAGGAGTCACAAGCAGCACCAACTCAGGCTCACCAGTGACTTTTGTAATTTGAGGACAAGTTAAATGGAGAAACAGTCGATGTGGGGACCTGTGACTTGCCTACAAAAAAGCGTGACGTAAGAAGACAGTTAAAGAGTGCCAAGCCACCATTTACAGAGTGTATCTAACGGTGCACAGCTCTTAGTACAGTCACCAAACAGTAAGGTGCTGGCATTTGGACAGGGAGGGTTTAACACTACAACAGTAGCAACATCATAACCCTGACCCCTTAAGAGTTGCCCTGATCTGCAGAAGTACACACTATTTGTGAAACAACAAACGCCTCTTAAAAGATCATGGTTAAAGCGGGATAAACTAATTTCCAAGTCTGTGCGGAGAAACATCAAGGCTGGATTTTACCAAAATCCTTCCCTGCTTCTGACCAGCTCTGGGTCCTCTCTTACACAGGAAAAACTAAGGGCCAGCAGGGTACTGTTTTCTGCACTGCTAGGTACGTGCATACAAGTTCTACAAGTGAGACACTAGTCCTTGCCCCAAGGCCACACACATGACCCACAAGTCACCAGTGAGATGCAGTCTGCTCCCACTGCTCCAACACCCAGGCAGCATACATCTAGGCAGCTACACACACAGCGAGCTGAAGGACTGACTCTCGATGCCTATGTTTTAACCTTTTTCTGCCAGCATGGCCAATAACAACCTCAGCAAGAAAATACTCAGAAAAAAAATTTGTCCTTCAGTGCACAAGAGATTGCAACAGCCTGCCCTTGCTGTAAGTGCAAAAGGAAGCCTTACCCTTCAAGGGCTTCTTGCTAATTCTCAGGGCTATTAAAAGGAGCGCTCCAAAGTATGCATCTGAAGCTTGCAACTCTTCCGGCCTTTTAGATACCTTTTAAATATCCTGTTACTTTATGCTTCCCATCTCCCACGGCATTCACAAGATAAATCCTCTCAGGAAGAAGCCAGAACGATAAACAAAAGCCACGTCCTTAAAGAAAAAGACACCATTGCTATGCAGATTACAGCCATGTGAACTTCCTCTTCACTGGGGAATCAGCACTGCATTTTCCTCCTAAAAAAACACAGCCTTGCAACCCTTATAGTGTCCTGAATGGTTCCAGGTCCCTCTGGAGTGAGTGCAAAAATAAGATTTACTTTAGCACTTTACCCCCACTATATTAGAATGGGCTTAACCAAGGTATGGAATGGTTACATTAGTCCAAGGTCCTTTGTTCCTATATTTGCACTCTGAAGTCCATGCTGCCTAGGAGACCACCGAGAGAGTCTCCATGTTAGCAGTTCAAATGAAATCTACTATGCCAGAGCTCACTAAGAGACAACGGACAAAGCTACACCAACAGACAGGCTGCAAAGTACTAACCAGTCGCTGCCTGCGGGAGAAAGTGAGCACAACAGGCTCAGGCACTGCCAGGGATATGATCTGTGATCTGCTCTGCTCTGCCTTCTCCCAGCCAGGAATAGCAGGACTTTGAGAAACCACTTACCTCAAACCTGTAAAGGCTCACAGAGCTCGTTCAGCTTATGGGTGCATGACTGATTTCTGCACTTGTAACTCACAGGGACAGTCCACTGCAGAGGTTTGTTTAGCTCATCATTCTGCCTTCATCTCCCCAAGCATCAGCAGGACGAGATCTGAGAAGATCACAAACATGCTAGCCCACAGCATTCTTGTCTCCAGGGTTGCCAAGCTCCAGATCAGCTCAGCAGGCACCACACAATGCATATGTGCCGTGGAAACCTTTACAGGTAACTCATGTGGAGAGTCTTGTGTGAATTTAAACAGCTGAATTTAAACAGCTAGGATCAGGCTCCAAGCTCCAGTCAGAAGGTGATAGAGGAACAGTTAGCACAATCCAGCTGGGTGTCTTTTTCGTCACATTAGGGCCGGGGAAGTGGTCAGAAACCTCTTAGTGTGTTTGGTTAGAGGCAGGAAGCAAGAGAGGTGTCCCCTTCACCTCCTTATAAAGGATTGCTCACTGGATGAAAGGGAGGAAGAGGAAATAGGGAACACTCACTAAGTCAGTAACTCTGCACAGCCACATTACAAGTGCAGCTGCTCCTCAATTATCTGCTGGTTATAGAAGTGCCACCTGAGGAAACCAAATAGTGCAAAGAGGGACACGGTCTTCACCTTAAACTGGGACACAAAATCAGGAGCACACACACTGAATATGGCAGGGATCTCAAGGGACACCCCCAAAGGGACCTGCTACTTTTTGGCACCATGTACCAGCAGCACACAGTGAATTTGCATCACTCAGCCAACATCCCCCAGCTGCCTGCCATGCAAAAGTGGAGTCGGGGTAGGTATGATCTGTGAATGCTACGCATGCGTCTAAAAACATCAGTAGCTAGGATGAGGCTCTTCCCCCTGCTTCTGCATCTTAGGCCCAACCCATACCTCTTGTGCCATGGTCCCAGGCTTTTCCAGCCAGACTTTTCATATTACTGCAGGGCTGTATTGGGTTTGCATGGCAAGGTTTTGATAGCAGGGAAGCTACAAGGGTGGCTTCTGTGAGAAGTGGCTAGAAGCTTCCCCTGTGTCCGATAGAGACAATGTCAGTTGGCTCCAAGATGGCCCCACCACTGGCCAAGCAACAGTGGTAATGCCTCTCTGATAACATATTTAAGAACGGGGGAAAAAACTGCACAGTGAAAATTGCAGCTGGAGAGAGAAGTAAGAACATGTGAGAAAAAACTCTGTAGATGCCAAAGTCAATGCAGAAGGAGGGGGAGCAGGTGCTCCAGGCGCAGGAGCAGAGGTTCCCCTGCAGCCCGTGGTGAGGCAGCTGTGCCCTTGCACCATGGAGGTAATGGTGGAGCAGAGATCCACCTGCAGCCTGGGGAGGACCCCACACCGGAGCAGATGGAGGCACCCAAAGGAGGCTGTGACCCCGTGGGAAACCCACGCTGGAGCAGGCTCCTGGCAGGACCGGTGGCCCCATGGAGAGAGGAGCCCAGGCTGGAGCAGGTTTGCTGGCAGGACTTGTGACCCCATGTGGGACCCACGCTGGAGCAGTCTGTGCCCGCAGGACTGCACCCCATGGAAGTGATCCACACTGGCACAGTTCGTGAAGAACTGCAGCCTGTGGAAGGGCCTCATGTTGGAAAAGTTCATGGGGAGCTTTCTCGTGTGGGAGGGACTCTACACTGGAGCAGGGGAAGAGTGTGAGGAGCCCTCCCCCCTGAGGAAGAAGGAGCAGCAGAGACAACATGTGATGGACTGACTGCATCCCCCATTCCCTGTCCCCCTGTGCTACTGGGGGGAGGAGGCAGAGAACTCAGGAGTAAAGTTAAGCCAAGGAAGAAGGGAGGGGTGGGGGAAAGGTGTTTTAAGATTTAGTTTTTATTTCTCATTATCCAACTCTGATGTAGTTGGTAATAAATTAAATTAATTTTCCCCAAGTTGAGTCTGTTTTGCCCACGATAGTAACTGGTGAATGATCTCCCTCTCCTTATCGCAACCCGTGAACGTTTCATTATATTCTCTCTCCCCTCTCCAGCTGAGGAGGGGAGTAAGAGAGCTGCTTCGGGGTGACCCTGGTGTCCAGCCAAGGTCAACGCACCACAAGGGCCAACAACATACACAAAGGGTTTAAAAGAAAAAGCAACAAACCCCCATCTGCTCACAAAAACCAGAAACCATTGCCACCAAAACCTTGTGATTTCAGCTGAAGCTCAAGTCCGGGCAACAACACAGTTGCAGGTTGATGAGGAACAAGTGGCATTCTTGCAGAGCACATTTAATAGACTAATTTACTTGACAGTGCAGGTCATCTACCCCTAAAACAGACAGCTCCAACACATCCTCTCCCTCTCTCTACATATGCAGAGACTGAACTGCTCCTTGGCTTTCTGGCTTGAGAAAACAGATCTACAGTCAGGCAGCTCCACAGTGACTGGGTTGAGAGGAGACAGAATCACTATGTTATTAGCAACACAAGTGACCAAGATGCTACCGACCAAAAATGCTGTTAGCAGAATCGTTTACTCTCCCACAGACTCCCTTCTCCCATAGAGGGAAGGAGAAAGGTAGTTTCCATAAAGCTACAGTAACACAAGACAGCACTCTTGTTTTCCCCTCAGAGTCCACTGTTACATGTTGCTTCAAAACATTTCCTTCTTACTTCATACATTTACCTGCTGTCTCATGTCACAATTCATAATCAGAGCAGAAACACTTGGAGGGAGTTGAGCGAAGCCTTCAAACCAATACAGACCCAGCTTCCAGAAAGAATGACAAGATTAAAGATGACAGTGTCTTCTCACCCAGTCAGACACATGAGGGATGGAATAATAACTTCAGGGTTAATGAGGTGAAGGCATCTTACAAAGCCCTATAGGAATGCTGCTCACAAAGGCACTTAATACAAGCATGTATACAGCTGGATGGAATAGAAGACAAAAAAAACCAAACCAAAACAAAAACAAACAAACAAAAAACAAACAAACAAAAAAACACAAAAAAAACCCAAACCACCAGAGAGGAGGGAGCTGCTCAGTGACTGCCTAGATAGTCTCTTCTTAGCCAAAGAGCCTGGCTTCTGCAGTGGTCCATCTGTTATCTGTATCAAAAGTTCAGCCTCCTGACATCTCTGAAATGTCACACATAGGTATGAGGCAGAGATTCTTTAACCCTTGCAGGAACCAGTGCATGCTCTGAACTTCAGCGGCAGATTCTTCTTGATGCCAGGGTTCACACCTAAGGAAAAAATCAAGTTCTCAAAACCTTGTGCTTGAGCTGCACAAAGTTTCCCACAGCGGAAAAAGGTAGCAGGCTCCTTCTCTCCAGGTTTGTGCATATGGCTTACTGCTTTCTGCATCCTATTGCTGGCTGACAGCATGCGAAGAACCATTTGGCCTGGGAAAGCCTCCAATGATGTCAGTGACGGGATAGGCAGCCCATACACTAACTGTGAAGGGTGTGGGAGGAGGGAGAGTCCTAGTAGAAGGGGCCATTCCCCTGCTAAAGAAAGTCAGTCAACATCATCTGGAGAAAGAGGGATGTCACACAATGTCTTCAGCAGAGCGCTGTGGAGGAGAAGACCCCAGGCTCAAGAAATGGCCCCAGTTGCATAGGAAACCCCTGTTATACTGGCCAGTATCTATCACTAAGCCACCCAGGAGCCTGTGCCCAGTATTGTCCCGCAGAGCCATCCGAGCTTCCCTCTCAGTCACGTTGTAGCTGATGTTCAGCAGCTGGATAAGGAGGATGTATCCCATGCCAGCTGTTACAATGGCACAGTACCACACACAGGTGAACGACAGAGCAGAGCTGGCAGCAGAGAAAAAGATGGGAAGGAAGCCGTTTAGTTTTGGAGCAGCTGCTTTAGAGTGACTTTCCCTGATAATCACTATCCTTTCAAATCCCTGTCTACATCTGCCACAGTGATCTCACTTGCTGCTTTCATCAGATAATCCTTAAAGGCTTTCTCAAAATTAAAGCTTCAGGGCTTACTTAGTGAGAGCTTTTAGCACTACCAGATCGACTCTTGCACGTTACTGTCGCACTACCTAGCTCTTTACTCTTACTATTGTAAAGGTACTCACTCCCTATTTAAGGGCACAACGATGCTCACACTCGACAGATCATGAAACACGGTACAGAAGACGACAGAGTCACTTGTGCCAGTGTACTCTGCACACTGGTGGTAGCACCAGTCTCTGAACTCATGTCCAACACTTCTCACCACCCTCCCTGCCAGACAAAGCATATTAACGCTGTCTGTTCTAAGCAGATAAATCAGAGGGACAGTCACTAGATAAACAGTAAGGGATGAGAGGGAGAGACAGCACATGAATTCCAGACTGTCAGACCATTACCTGCATCTGGAGGCAAACATATTTAATAGTGTATCTATACAGTACACAATAAAGACTTCAAATCCCAGCTCCTCCAACAATTTTTTCCAAATAAATGGTGGGTTCTCTCCAAGTCTCAGGCTCCCCACCTTGGCAAAAGTAGTGATGCATCCCTGCTTTCTAGACCTTTTTTAGGGAGCACTTTGTGGTCAGGTTTGACAGCCAACAGCACTGGCCTAGAGCATAGAATGAGGAAGAGGAGCTAAGCTGCCTGACCAAGTCCATTCCCACCCGAGCTCTCTCCCAGACAGACATCTCACCTGTGGTCAGAATAGGCTCCAGGGCAGTAGAACAATGCCACAAACGGAGTTCGGCCCCTGCAGATGCTGTGCAGGGTCAATGTAATCCCATACACAGAGGTGAGCATGAAGAAGGAGAGTGCAAGGATGAATGCTTGGTGGTTCTGCTCCCCTACACAGCTGTTAATCCTCCAAAAGGAAAGAAGAGATTACTTTGCTTAAAAAGAAAATATAGTGGCTTCTTTTTCCTTCTCTCTCCCCCACCTATCAGTGAACCTAACTTCCAAGTTACTTCTATACAACACAGGCTATGAACCTTGAAACATGTTCAAAGAAGGTTTATATACAAAAGGTTACAAGCACAAGTCAATAGACCAGCAGGGTAACAGTGGTGAACCGTTTGCCTCGCTTTTAGCAAGTGTAGTATCCTTCACTGAGACACATCTACATCCTACTGCTCCTTGGTGCCAGTACTGCATGCACACAGGCAGCTTTAGGTTCCCTTGCCCTCAGGAGAGCACTAATGCAAGTTAACAGCAGGATTTATAGTGCTACACAGACTACATCTAAAAAACCCACCCAAAACAAATTAAAAAAACCAAACCCCACCAACACCCAGATGAAAACCAGTAGAGAACCAAAGACAATCAGCTATCAGGTCAACCCACTTACAAACAGTTCTTTAAACTGTTCTTTAAAATGGTCAATACGAGTTTACTTTTTTAAAGAATGTCACCAGTTCTTGCATATAACAAAAGCAACCCCATTTGACAGGGACTGTAAAAAAAAAGAAGCTAACTTAAAAGCGGGAGAAGAGAGAGAGAACACATGTAGCCTCAGCAGTACAAAACCTACCAGACACAGTGATGGTCCAGTCTCCTTACACACCTGCCACAAAGCCGGCAGTGCCCAGCTCGGGCTGGTCTGACCAGCTGGCATTTAGTGCACCAGTCCTTTTTCACACCTTCTGGCTCCTCAGATGACATCCTGGAATAGCCTTTGGCCTCCCCATTCACAGCACGGCTGCTGGCAACTCCTGATGTGGTGACACCATAGAGCCCATTGGCGCTTCCTCTAACACTCTTGTTGGGCAAACCCTGGTGCGATGACTTCTCGTTGCCTGATGAGATGGGAAGGTAGCCGGGGTCTTTCTTGGCTTGAGACAGGGCTGCAAGCATAAGAATTAACCCGCACGTGAGAGCGACCACTTGGGAATACCCCACATGGCCTCGAGGAACCACCTCCTGGAGAAACACATAGTACATGTAGCCCAAGGAGAAGAGCCCCAGGCTGAGGAAGAAGAGAGTCCGCTCCTTCCTCCTGTGGGTGAGGTAGTAATACCACAGCACCACCACGGGCAGCGATGTCAGGATGACAAGCCCCAGCAGGAAGTGCAGAGCGGCAACCTGGAGGAGGACGGGCAGCAGAACCAGGGGTGGCACAAGGCTGACGTTGACCTTCACGGCCCCTGCGAACCAAGGGACCCGCACACGGTCCGCTACAGTGTCGACGATTCTTTCCAGAGCTCCCGGGGGCAGGGATTTGCACGTCAGCCACCTGTTGGGGGGGAA